CACAGCTTCCTCTCTGGGCATAACTCAAACTAAACTACCTAAACTGAAATCAGTCATCCAAGGACGAGGAACAAAAATGTCCGACTGTCAGCATGGCGCGTCTCGTGAACAGAGTTCCAGAGCACATTTTCCTGAGGTCAGGCAGAACTGCATAAATCTCAGCCGGTTTTGTCGCTGTTAAAGGGCCATTAAGTTAGATTTGTACAGCCTCATGGCACAGAATGACTGCCGTATATCTCGATAAGGTTTTTGATCAATACTTCAGAGATGCTTTGGCGATGTGATGAGAATCTGGCTTTATTATCTGGCATCACATCTTTCTACTGAGGCCCTTTTTTTGAGATGCCTCAGCAAACTTGGATGAAAGTAATTGAGCAAAGAGAGGAAAATCATTTTATTATTTCATGTAGATTTATCGGGTTGCTTGTGGATTAAAGCCAATAACCCAAGAGTCACAAGATTTTATTTGCACAGGTTTAATGTCTGTTCATTTTGTACAACATATAATATATTGGAGTGTCTGAATGGGAGATATGCCCACTCACTTGTGCTCCAATATATAACTGATATATCGTTACCGCTCTGTTTCTATATGTTTAATGGGGTAGTGGTGGTCTAATGGATAGAGAGGTGGGCTGAAGATTGGAAGGTTGTGAGTTCAAATCCCACCTGGAACACCACCACTAGTGTGCCCTTGAGTAAGGCACTGAGCCCTCAGTTACTCCAGGGAGAATGTCCCTGTAATTGTAAGTCGCTTTGGATAAAGGCGTCAGCTAAATGCAATGTAATGTGGAGCTGGAGCCAAAGACAATTAGCCTTGCTTAGCATAAAAAGACAAAATAGTAACTTCCTCTAAAACCACAACATGCCGGATATACGTTTTTGTTTGTTCACGGATGAATGATTGAGATGCATTGTGTTGATTAGTTGGCGATCTTTCCATTCCTTTGCCAGGTTTCTAACATGTGCATGACGTATTAAATGTGCAAGATGTGGATGTGGTCGACTGGAGACATCAAGACAATATCATGTTGTTCTTCGATGCAGCTGATACTGAACTAGACATTTAAAAAAATATATATATTATGGGGTCAGTCTTTCACTTTCTTCCAGAATTAAATGTCTTCACTATATTGCTATAAGATTGTGCACGGATATTCATGGTGCCCAGACGATTAACCCTCGTGGCTTTGGTGATTCCCTGACTTTTACCTCTGGCGCCATCAGCAGTTTGACATTTTTGGCTTTTAATCAAATATATCTTGGCAAATATGTTATAGATTGCCATGACTTTTGGCACAGATATTCATGGTGCCCAGAGGATGAAGTATCACTTATTTTGTTCCAACAACCTCAACTTCTGACTTATTTGAAATATCTAACATCTGCAAGATGGATTGGCACAAAATGTGGCCATTCATGGTTTCCAGATGATGAACAATCATGACTTTGGTGATACACGTTCTTTTCTGGTACTAGCAGCAGGTTTACATTGTCTAATTCTAATAAAATATCTTGGCAAATATGGATGCCAAATTATTGGAACAGACATTCATGGTGCTAAAGCAGGGATCACCAACTACATTTGTCCAAGGGCCAAAATGTGTCCAATAGACACTTTCGCGGGCCAGAGATTTTTATATATAGCTCAGAATTTTGAAGTTGTTGACCGGGGCGGGGGTGTTAGTGGAGCACGCTCAGGTACTGCAGAGGGAAGGCTACGCAGTACGCAGTCTACTGTCCCGCAGCTGCTGCCTCTTTGTTGGACTCCGGTACTGCACATTACTCACGAGACGTTGTATTAAAAAAAAATGAGTGGGGGGCGAACGCACAAACCAGTCCGCCAACGCCACAGTCACTCCTGCCGTGCGGGCCGGATGAGAATGTCTGGCGGGCCGGATGTTGATGGTCACTGCCCTAAAGGATGAATCCTTAGCATTCCCATGCCAAAGCGTTCACCTATATAGCCTTTGGAAAATCTCAATATCTACAGGATCGATTGGCATGCAAAGACATTCATGGTTCCCAGATGATGAACCCTCATGACCTTGGTGATCTCTTTCTGTAGCGCCACCAGCAGGTTGACATGGTCTGTCTTTTAAATGGATATCTAAACAGATATGGATGGATTCTTTAACGTTTCCTCTAGCAACCCTATGCCAAAGTGTTCACTTATTCTGTGAAATATCTCAACACCAGCAAGATGGATTGGCACACGATTTGGTATGGACATTCATGGTTTCCAGACGATGAACTGTCATCTTTGTTGATCCACTTTATCACCACCACTAAGGCAATTTTCCAATTTGTGCATTTTACGAGTGCCTGACTAAACTGTCAAATGTATTACAATCCCATCATCCAAATATTCTACATGGTAAACATAATTATTAACGCTTTAATATACATTATACGAGGACTGAGAACTGGACAGGCGCCCTAGATCATGTTGAGAACCAAATACATGGTTGTTAGAGGAAGATGGATGTCGCAACACTCCTGTTTCCGGCTCTCGGCAGATAAGCTAAAGGCAGCTGTGGAGCCGGTTAGAAGACACATTTCACCCTGTTCCAGTCGACAAAGACTTGTGATGTGTGTGTGTGTTTGTGGGTGAGTGTGAAGACATATGTGTGTATGTGTGGTTGAAGGTAAGATGAGGTCCTTTCTGTTCTGCAATCTGCCTCCATTTCCTGTTCTGTGACTAGCTTCCGTTCCAGTATTGTTAACAGATTCTCTACACAGCGGCTGCTTCCCTTCAGTCCAGACAACCTGCCTGCACGGCTTCCTGAGTGTGTGTGTGTGTGTGTGTGTGTGTGTGTGTGTGTGTGTGTGTGTGTGTGTGTGTGTGTGTGTGTGTGTGTGTGTGTGTGTGTGTGTGTGTGTGTGTGTGTGTGTGTGTGTGTGTGTGTGTGTGTGTGTGTGTGTGTGTGTGTGTATCTTCCTCTTTCACTGTTAAAATCATAACTCTTATTTCAAATCAACCCCTATTTGAAAAAGAGAACGAGAAGCTAAGCGATTAACCCTTCCTCTAAAGATCAATGTTCTCACATTTCAAATAAGTTTCATTCACCCAACATGCAATTTAAGGTCATGTATTCATTTGAAAGACGTGTTTGTTGCAAAGTGGTCATTCATTGTGCATGTGATGTACCAGTTTATTTATTAAATACATTGCTCTCTGTTCTTTACTGAGTACGTCCTGTTGTGTATCAGTACTTTCAACCCTATAACATATTGATTATTTCTGAAACAACCCCAAGATATTAGAGTTCCCCTCGTGTCTTGTTCCTAAAGTTTAACTCAGCTCTGAGTTCACCAGGCAGGTTGGAATAATCAAGCCTCTGCAGATCAGAGATTAACTTCAAGATACCCTTCTTGGAAAAGTAGTGTGTGTTTTTTGTTTTAACAAGCCACTCGAGTTGGCAAAGCTTCCCTGAGAGGTCAAGTAAAATGTGGGTTTGTTGAAAGTGTTGTTTAATGTTTAATAAAATGTCGGCTATGTTAACTTAAGATTGTGTGCCTTCTATTTTTCTTCTACTCCTCATTGAAAATAACCTTTCACATACATCATTTGATTGTGTATGACTGAGTGTTACTTAACAATGTAACACCAGCAAGCCAGTGTGTGTGTAACTAAACTGAAAGAGAAGATGAGGAGAACAATTGGCCTGAAATTCTGCACTTAATAAAACCACATCTCCTGTATTTCAAAATGTTGCGATGATCTGTAAAGAAACATTTGAACCTGGAGTGATGGCAACGCAACAGATATCTCAAAGACTTCCTTACAGAGCATCATAAGCTCACTTTTGTCAATTGTTATCTTCAAAATGACCTTGAATGGAGTCTTTAAGACAAACTTAACCCTTCAAAAGTGATGGCAATTTTATTTTTGCACATTAAATATTATCTACATTCCTTGATATTGTAGGTGAAGTAAGAAAACCTGTTGAAATATGGCTTTGTGCATGTTTGAATTCAAATAGTGTATGGTTTTGACACTCTTTGAAGTGGCATGTAACACCGAAACTTATTTTCGTTATCGTTTGATTCGTTTGAAGCCCAAAGAGATGTCACAGTCGAAAAAAGAAATTCAAGTAAAGAAAATAAGAATTTAGTCCAATACGATTTAAAATTGGAAAAACTGATTTGAAAACTGAATTGCAAGGTTTTTCAATCATTGTTTCAAATCATCGATTAGTCGACTAATTCTTGACATTCACCGACCAAACCACTCCGGAAGTGAACTTTTCTGTTAACAGCCATCATGCAACTTCAAAACAGGAAGGAAGTGAGTTTAATTTCATCATATGGCCTACAGCAAATTATGGCTCGAATATAGTGTATTATATTTCATCTATTGAAATATAGCTAAACAAACAGTCTCTTCTCGTAAATCTAGACATAAGTCAATATACACAGATCAATGTTGCTTCGATTAGGACATATGGACAAGTGGTTTTGGCTGACAGCAGCAACAAGGTGTCTAAAATGTAAAACCTTTTTCAGAGCAGCACACACACACACACACACACACACACACACACACACACACACACACACACACACACACACACACACACACACACACACACACATACATACACACACACACACACACACACAGTAGCCTATCAGGTCTAAAACCACCAGACCAAGGGACAGTTTCATCCGACAGGCCATAAGATTGTTAAACACTTGAACTTTTGAAAGAACAACCATAACATATGCAACTCATATATATCAATATTCCAATTACTGTATATAGACTATTCTGCACTGTTTCTATTATATTCTATTTTATTTTAGTTACCTGAACTATTGTATCTGTTTTGTTGTGTTTGTTGGTGAGCCTGTGACCCAAGCATTTCATTGTCATAATTACACTGTGCACACATGACAATAAAAGCCTTGAAACTTGAAACTTGAAACACACACACACACACACACACACACACACACACACACACACACACACACACACACACACACACACTCACATGCGCTTTGGTTATGGAGATCCACGTCTCCAACAGGAGCGCGAGCCGCGTCTCGTGGAACCTCCCGGTGGTTTTCACCGCGATGAAGATGTCCTCCAGCTTTAATTCCGGTAGAGTGACATGTGTGCTTTCAGGGTCTGAGTGTCCTCCGTCCTCCTCCCTGCTGTCGCTGCTGCTGCTGTTTCCACCCGGGATCTGTGCGTCTCTGGCCGGGGAAGGAGCCTCCTGGATGGACCGCTGGAGGGGACCGGGAACCAGAGAGTGAGCCACGCTGAGTTTGGGGAGGCTGCTGCTGCGTAATTGGAAATCCACATAGAGGATGATGAAGAAGGTGCAAATAAAGATTGGCAACTTCCGACGTATCCATCTTTTCTTCTGCATGGTAGAAATATGATTTTATATTCCGTAAATCATGAAAACATTTTGATGGTCCTCTCATATAAAATCCTCATGTTTGGTTTGGTGTTGTAGCGGTTCCTCCATCACCTCGCCGTCTTCCTTCTTTATAACTTTTATCAATAGTCTTCCTCATTAATCAACTGCTAATTTACTGTTGAATGTTGTCAAAAATGTGTAATAATCCTAGTCATTCTAACAAAAATAGCCGGTTTTAAAGAGGCTACATGACACGAGTTGTTTCCTCTAATTGTCTGAAGTCACTCGCATCTGTTTGACCTGTCACAGTTTCAGCTCTGCCCACATTGTCACAGTGTCACAGAATCTCAATAGTGGGACTTCCTTATTTGGATTTCAAAATAAACCACAACAGTGATCATACTTTTCTACTTCCGGTTTTAATATGGGCTTGAGAGTATTACATCAAAATTGCATTTTAAATTAAAAATAAATAGTTAATTTGTAGAAGAATGTGTTTTTCTGACTCTACTACTAAAATGCTGTCATGAACCCTTGAAGACTTTCCATATAATGTAATCACTTGCAAGTCAAGTCCCACGTCGAGTCCCACGTCACGTCCTGAAGTCAAGTCCCAAATAAAGTTGAAAGCCAAGTCCCAAGTACAGTCCAAAAACGAGTCCCAAGTCAAGTCAGAATCAATCAGCCATGCACCAGACGACCTATTATCACCCTTTATTGAGCCTGGTGTCATGTGTTTCACTTTACTCAGACAGAAACAGCAAACCACAGAAAACTCCGCCCTTTCCTTCCTCTTCTGCTCTCACAGTTACTGTCACAGCTCTCTGAACAGATGGATCCAAAAACACTGTGAAACTATGTGAACTTTGAAATCGCAAACATGGGGTTTTATCGCAGTACATTTTTATTTGGCTGATAATCAGAGATGGCAAAAGTACACACATCCTTTACTCAAGTAGAAGTACAGATACTTGTGTTTAAAAATACTCTGGTGAAAGTAGAAGTACTGACTAAACTTCTTTACTCAAGTAAAAGTAAAGAGGGCTTTGAAATGTACTTCAGTAAAAAGTACCCATAACTAGCAGCTGTTTTAAAGAGTACCTGACCTCCCTTTATATTAATAGAACAATAATGTCATTGTTAGCTAATGAATGTTTCCATGCTGAACAACGGCAACATGACAACGTTTTCATTGGTCCCTCTTCTTTAGAGAAGACCAGGAAATGATGGATACACGGATCGTGTTCAAATCAATAGGCACGCAATGACTCTAAATAATAATGATCACGCCACCAAACACACATTCAAACTAAAGGAACCAGCCTGTTTGGGAAATGAGAGAAGTAGAAAGTTCAGGTATTTGGGTTCAAAATGTGAGAAGTAGAAAGTACAGGTATTTGGGTTCAACATGTAAGAAGTAGAAAGTACAGGTATTTGGGTTCAACATGTAAGAAGTAGAAAGCACAGGTATTTGGGTTCAACATGTAAGAAGTAGAAAGTACAGGTATTTGTGTTCAACATGTAAGAAGTAGAAAGTACAGGTATTTGGGTTCAACATGTAAGAAGTAGAAAGTACAGGTATTTGTGTTCAACATGTAAGAAGTAGAAAGTACAGGTATTTGGGTTCAACATGTAAGAAGTCAAAGTAAAAAGTCGTCAGAAAAATAAGTAGTGGAGTAAAGTACTGATACCAGAAACATGTACTTAAGTACAGTAACAAAGTATTTGTACTCCACTACTTCCCACCTCTGCTGATAATTCAAAATCTATCTTTTTTGACTGCATTCTGGCTTACTGCACTAATCTACACTTGTAGGGAGGACTTGTGAATTGCACTGATTGCCTCCAAGAGATCTGTGGGTCTCTCTAAGTTCTGTAGAAGTCCAATACTGTTTCCATTGTCTGCGGTTCTCTGTCTCTGGAGACCGTCACCAAAGGGAGAAAGAGCTCGATACAATTAATTCACCTCAGACCCTCATCGCCACCTTTGTTTATTTGTCCTTTCTCAGCGTTCTCGCCTTACATCCATCCCTCCATCCCTCCCCTCCTTTCTCTAGGTCTCTCTCTCTCTCTCCTGTACTGACCAGCTGCTTTCCTCTTCCCAACTTCTCCACTTCTACCCAGAGGTGGGAAGTATGGAGTACAAATACTTCGTTACTGTATTTAAGTACATTTTTACTCGACTACTTATTTTTCTGACAACTTTTTACTTTGACTTCTTACATTTTGAACACAAATACCTGTACTTTCTACTTCTTACATGTTGAACCCAAATACCTGTAGTTTCTACTTCTTACATGTTGAACCCAAATACCTGTACTTTCTACTTCTTACATGTTGAACACAAATACCTGTACTTTCTACTTCTTACATGTTGAACCCAAATACCTGTACTTTCTACTTCTTACATGTTGAACCCAAATACCTGTACTTTCTACTTCTTACATGTTGAACCCAAATACCTGTACTTTCTACTTCTTACATGTTGAACCCAAATACCTGTACTTTCTACTTCTTACATGTTGAACCCAAATACCTGTACTTTCTACTTCTTACATGTTGAACCCAAATACCTGTACTTTCTACTTCTTACATGTTGAACCCAAATACCTGTACTTTCTACTTCTTACATTTTGAACCCAAATACCTGTACTTTCTACTTCTTACATTTTGAACACAAATACCTGTACTTTCTACTTCTTACATGTTGAACCCAAATACCTGTACTTTCTACTTCTTACATGTTGAACACAAATACCTGTACTTTCTACTTCTTACATGTTGAACTCAAATACCTGTACTTTCTACTTCTTACATTTTGAACACAAATACCTGTACTTTCTACTTCTTACATGTTGAACCCAAATACCTGTACTTTCTACTTCTTACATTTTGAACCCAAATACCTGTACTTTCTACTTCTTACATGTTGAACCCAAATACCTGTACTTTCTACTTCTTACATGTTGAACACAAATACCTGTACTTTCTACTTCTTACATTTTGAACACAAATACCTGTACTTTCTACTTCTTACATGTTGAACACAAATACCTGTACTTTCTACTTCTTACATGTTGAACACAAATACCTGTACTTTCTACTTCTTACATGTTGAACACAAATACCTGTACTTTCTACTTCTTACATGTTGAACCCAAATACCTGTACTTTCTACTTCTTACATGTTGAACCCAAATACCTGTACTTTCTACTTCTTACATTTTGAACACAAATACCTGTACTTTCTACTTCTTACATGTTGAACACAAATACCTGTACTTTCTACTTCTTACATGTTGAACACAAATACCTGTACTTTCTACTTCTTACATGTTGAACACAAATACCTGTACTTTCTACTTCATACATGTTGAACCCAAATACCTGTACTTTCTACTTCTTACATGTTGAACACAAATACCTGTACTTTCTACTTCTTACATGTTGAACACAAATACCTGTACTTTCTACTTCTTACATGTTGAACCCAAATACCTGTACTTTCTACTTCTCACATTTCCCAAACAGGCTGGTTCCTTTAGTTTGAATGTGTGTTTGGTGGCGTGATCATTATTATTTAGAGTCATTGCGTGCCTATTGATTTGAACACGATCCGTGTATCCATCATTTCCTGGTCTTCTCTAAAGAAGAGGGACCAATGAAAACGTTGTCATGTTGCCGTTGTTCAGCATGGAAACATTCATTAGCTAACAATGACATTATTGTTCTATTAATATAAAGGGAGGTCAGGTACTCTTTAAAACAGCTGCTAGTTATGGGTACTTTTTACTGAAGTACATTTCAAAGCTTCTTTACTTTCACTTGAATAAAGAAGTTCAGTCAGGACTTTTACCAGAGTATTTTTAAACACGAGTATCTGTTCTTCTACTTGAGTAAAGGATGTGTGTACTGTTGCCCTCTCTGTGTGGGACTAATAAAGGTGTTCTGATTCCTCTCCACTTCTACCCCTCCCATCGTGGTCCCGCAGGTAAACCAGAGACGCCCGGGGCACACCCTGGCAGGAAAGGCCCAGGGTCGCCTTACGGCCTAGCTGAAAAGGGCTCTTTTCTAAAAACATTGAGTACATCACAGCCCCACTTTGAACAAAGGGCCGGGGGAGTCGAGGGACCGGACCCCCTTTCAGGGCTTTGTCTGTCCGATGCACTGAGCTCAGAGTCAGACACAGACTTGGACTGCACTCAAGAACTGGCATTGGAGAAATCATGCCAAGTGAGGAAGTCATAAGATCAAGGACTGCAGGAGGCTTTACTGTGTTTTAAAGACCTTTTCTCAGATGAACTGGACACTTTTTAGAGAATTTCACACAAATCAGGACAGCAGATAGCTTACACATCTTCCGGCGCAGACTGAGAACTCATCTCTTTCGACTCCACTTCGAGCGATAGAATTACTAACAAAGAATTGCTAACAAAGCACTTACATACTAATAAAGGACTGGCTTATCTAAAGCTAGTTGAGAAATGTGTTGGCTCTATGAAACCTGATGTACTTATATGATTCTGTTTTCTTCAAGTTTGTATCTTCTTGGTCGAATGCACTTATTGTAAGTCGCTTTGGATAAAAGCGTCAGCTAAATGCAATGTAATGTAATAATGTCATTTAGCAGGAGATTGTTTGGTCGGATGCATTTTCATTTACTGGAAATATTACGTTTGGCTTAGACGAAGGCTGGCGTTTGGGGAAAGCGTAAAGGTGAATTTGTCTAATCAGCATCGGCCCTTAGAGACAGACATTCTGAGTTTCTTTGTCCCTTAACTTAACATTTTTGAAGGCGTCTTTCCATACGTTTCTTGCAGTTTCATGAGACTGGATCGGACCAAATCATTTTGACATTATGTACTCTTACATATTCCCCTCCAGGTAATGTTGAGATATCACAATGTTTAATTGCATCTGTTAAAAAGGCCTAAAACGGTCTAATATGGCAAATAAATTGTATAAATAGTAAAGGTAAACAGGATGGAAATCTATCTAAGTCTTTACGGCTGTATAAGCATTGATTTGATGACATTAAAACTAGACAAGACGGGTAAAAGTGCATTTGTGGTGACATGGAGCCCTAATCCTGAGTCCCACTGACAAACTAAAACCTCACAGTGGAAACCCCTTAACTCCACAGCCAGGTGTGTGTGTGTGTGTGTGTGTGTGTGTGTGTGTGTGTGTGTGTGTGTGTGTGTGTGTGTGTGTGTGTGTGTGTGTGTGTGTGTGTGTGTGTGTGTGTGTGTGAGAGAGTGAGTGATATGTCTAAGTCAGAGCAAAGCTTAAGTAGCTGAAAGCCCTCTCTTAACCTTCAGTCTCCGGCTGAAATTCAATTCAAAGAGCCGGCACAGAGCGACAGGAGGGGTGGTGTGGCTCAGGGGGGGGGGGAGATGTAAATGTGTGTCAGCCAATCAGAGGATCAGTGGTTCGATGCCCGACATGTTGATGATAATACGTTTATTTAGTATAGCACCTTTCACAGAAAATGAATTGTGCTTCACAAGAAAGAACAAAAGTACAAATTAAGACCACAGAAACGTGAATACAATGACAACATGAGGCAGACATTAAAGGTTAACAAAAAAACAAAACACAGACCACGTGGAGTCCTGAAAGGAACAAACATGAGAACAGAACACATCATCTCACGTAGAAACAAAAGCCAAATGTAGGTCTTCAGTTGCTTTTTGATGTGATGTGCCCTTTCGAAAAATACTTAACTTTAATATCCTCCTGTAGGCATCTCCAGGTATTGAAGTGTATGTAAGTTGCTTGTTAATATAAACGTCACAGACAACAGATGATATATAACCCACACAACATTCATAAATAACGATTACAATTATGAAAAGTTCAGCCTTCTTAAAAGAAATAGCGTTTATTTGGAAAGTGGTCAAAAAGCCCTTTCACAATTAAGTGTTTCCTCGTCGGGAGACTTTTTTTTTATATCCTGATTTTAAAACCCCAGGGTGTCCTGCTTCAAAGGCGTGATCGTACGACTTCCCAGAATGCAACATGGCTTTTCATTTGACCTTCTTTACATTTATGGAGAATCCTCCTAACAATGATGTATGTTGTAATTTTTTAAGTAATTTTAGGCTCGAAGACACTTCCCTCTTGATAAAAATCCTCTCAATGTTATGATTTCTTTGGGTGAAGACTTACATTAGGAGTCCACAGTCATTTCTGTTTTAGGTGTCATCTCTTATCTTCTTCTAAATGGTCAGCAGAGGGCAGTGTAGACTCTTGGATTTAATCAGACTGCATTCAACTTGTGACATATCACACTGAGGCTCTCCACTTTCTATAAACAGCTGTCTTAAACATGTTTGCTTTATATAACATATAATACAGCTTGTGTTTAAAATGAATGTGTATAGTCCCTTATCCCTGTTGCTGAAACTGTAGGACTTCCTTAAGTGTTACAAAAAAATAGTAAATTTAGGCTAATCAAACTAGATTATATATAATATCATATTTATGTTGGTTTAATATATGGTTACACAGATTTTTTGGATTACGTCTTAAAGTATAGCACATTTTTCCAATCACAACACATTTTTTTATGATATCCAAGGCTTTAAACTTGAGAAAAAAACTAATATATATTTCTGTAAGATGATTTTGCATAGAAAATGTTGTTCCCTTTTTATTCTCATCTCAGAATTCTGACTCAGATCTAAAAAGAAATGCACATATGGCCCTTATCCTCTTCCGTAGATTTTTGTATAAGCAGCAATATTCTCAATATCTGATTTTAAAGTGGACCTATCATGCTATATTTGAATAATATAGTGTAGGACCATACCTATATAAGGCATATTTATACTTTTTTTTTTTCAAAATACCAAACAGATCATGCATTTTAGCCATGCCTCATTTTGCTCAATTTGACATTTTTTAGATCTGTTTTTGCAAGGGCTGATTCTTTGAGAACAGCACCACCTACAGGCCTGGCATATGTACTACAGCGTCTCCAGCGCTTTCGAACGGCAATGGCCGTGGCTGTCTCCTCCTGATTGGTGGAGTTGGCCCAATAGCCGTAGCGCCACCGTCCTGACGTCAGGACAGTGTTCAAATCTGGATCAGTTTTTATCAGATCCGTTGCAGCCCCTTTTTCAGAGATTTGGGTATGGAGGAAAATAGAGAGGGTTGTGTTTTCTGACACTTGGTGAGTTCCCTGGAACACCGGGGACACATATTCATGTATAAAAGACGTACAAAAGTGCATTTTGCATGATAGGTCCCCTTTAAAGTAATGCAAAAGTGATTTTCAAACATACAATTCCCCTCACTTCCCCTGTAAAACAGTAGGAGTGTTTATATTGACATGTGGACAAACTGTTCCTCCACTTGTCTGGCCATAATCCTCTTCCGTAGGTTTTAGTAGGAGAAGCAATATTCTTAGTATTTGATTTTAAAGTAATCCAAAAAGAGATTTCCAAATGTACACGTGTCAAGTTTCAAGATTCAAGGCTTTTATTGTCATGTGTGCATAGCTACAGTGTAGTTATGACAATGAAATGCTTAGGTCACAGGCTCCTCCAACAGTGTAACACAATAAAACTGATAAAATAGTACAGGTAAATAAAATAAAATAGAACATAATAGAAAGTACAATTCCCCTCACTTCCCCTGTAAGATAGTAGGAGTGTTTATATTTACATGTGGGTTTACCTGTTCCTCCACTTGCCTGTCAGACAGAATGCAGGGCAGATCTCCCACACTCTCTCATTGCGGATGCACTACTTCCTGCTCGGTGACCCCGCCCCTTCACAACAACAAGGAACAGCTGCTCCAGCAACAACACCGACTCAACAGGCGGAGGTTCAGGACTCTTTTCCCGGGTCCACGGAGCTCCCCCCCGCTCCGGTAATCATGGCCCAGGCGAACATATCGGTAACGGAGAGTCAGTTCCGGTGCCCGGTGTGTCTGGACACCCTGAAGGAGCCGGTTTCCACCCCCTGCGGACACACCTACTGCAAGACCTGCATCAACAACTACTGGGACCAGGCGGAGGGACACTTCAGCTGCCCGCAGTGCCGCGAGACCTTCAGCCCGCGCCCCGTGCTGCGCAGGAACACCGTGCTCGCGGAGGTAAGGGGGCTGAGTGGGTTTTGATCATTTCTCCCATTTTTTGAGACGATATCCCGCATTTGATTGAAAGTCAAATGGCAATTTAGAAAGCAAGAAAAGTATTTTTATTTTCATTATTTTATTTGTTTATTCCACACATGGCAGTTATTTTAAAACAAAACATGTACACTTATACGGGTTGTTTTCTTTTGTTTCCCTTTTTTTCTTTTGGCTTTCACCATTAGCTGTTTCAGATGTCAATCAATCAACTAAGGAAAATAATTGACTTTTACTATATATATATTTTTTTTACTATAAAGCATTAAAGACGTGCTCGCGGAGGTAAGGGGGACTGAGTGGGTTTTGGTCATTTCTCCCATAAATTGAGACGATATCTTTCATTTGATTGACAGTCGCCCTTCTGAAACTTGGCTTTTTTAGCTGTCAAATACCAACCAACTATGTGCATTATGTGCAATATATACCTGGCTGCTAAATCCTCAGAACTGTTACAGGATGTGTATTTTGTAAATTGTGTAACTTTTTTTATTATCATTTTTGTATCTTTAATACTTTTTTAAGCATGCTTCTTAGGTCACATTAAGCTGTCTTTGGCTCTTTTCTGCTGTAACAGATGTACATGTCCCCTCTGTGGGACTAATAAAGGTTTTCTGAATCAAAGACAACATGTCAGTTTCTTCAGTGCACCTTTATAATGCCTTTAATTAAAGGTCCCCTATTATCAGGGTCGGCTCTAGAACAAATCGAATGGGGGGGAAATCATTTACCACGGGGGGGGGGGGGGGGGGGCACAAACTGCCGTCAACACACAAACACCAACGCAACTTCAATTTCAAACCATGCTGTGAAGTCAGTTGTCTTTCACACACATTGCAGGGGTGTAGCGCACCTATGACTTGTGCATACAGGCACGGTTGTGGCACGACCACCCAAACAGAAACATATGGACATAGGCCACCATATAAAAAGTGTGCAAATGTTTTAGTATCCTATCCATGTGAACATGTTTTAGGTGGGGGGTGGACCTAACCTCCTCTAGGGGGGTCCGGGGGCTTGATTTGTTTTTAAATGTTGAAGTTAAATGCATCAATCTGGTGCACTTTGAGAGCAACATGAAGAGATCTATGGATACATCTCTCAACACCATATGAAACAGAACTGTAAGCAGATTTACTTTTTCTTTATTTTACAAATCACTCCCCTTTCAAACTGTATTCTTGTGTTACTGTCATATAGTATTTCATACCTGTTTTTCATTTATTCTCTTATTTTTTAATAACTACAATGATCATATAAAGGTGTTCCTCGGAAATACTTGTTTACATAAATGGTGACCAAACCGTTTGAGACCCACTGAGATAACTGAAGTTAACTATCTAAACACTGACAGAGTCCTTTAGCTCAGTGAGCTGTAGTTATCTGAGCCTCTCAGTCTGACAGGAGAGGGCTCTCCTCCACACTTGTTGTAGAAACAGCTCTTTATATCCGTTAGCATAGCTAGCTAACCAGATGCTAACAACAACAAAATGCGCTCGTGCCACACACACACAGAGCCGAGCTTGAATGAAACACAGAGACCCAGAAGTACTGGTACTGTATCATATTATCTTCGATGGCTTTACCAGTGTAACAGATGAACAGATCGCAACTGGGCTTACAAGTAAACACACAGCCACGTAATGACAACAAAACAAAGGTCGGGGGTCATTGGTCAAGCAACACACCAATCAAAGAGCAGCAGTGAGCACACCTCAGGCTGTGTTTATTATTTGTATTCTTTATTTATGATTTATTTCACACAAAAAATATTTAGTGGAAACGTTTTCACTTATAATATGATAACAAAACCAAAAAACGGCAAAGTGGCAGGGCTTGCCTGCCCTGCGTTGGGGAGTGACTCGTTTGGGGGGGCATGGCCCGCGAATGACCCCCCCATGAAGCCGACCCTGCCTATTATACTGTTTTTCATCAATATATTACAGGTCTCAGATATATACAGAGCCTGTCTCTGATTGGCTGAAACACCAAACAGATCATTGCAGCATTACCCATAATCCCCTCTGCTTCAGCCCTGTTTCCAAAGTGCTGATTCTCTGTCTGTTACTTTAGATGAAAATAAGGAGCCCCTCCCCACGCCCCTCTGAGAGAGATTTGGTTACAAAGAACTCAATGGTGCTCTAGGAGGAGATTCAGGTGATAAGGTGGGGGGGGGGGTTACCTTGGTTGCTGATTGGCTAATAGTTACACAAGACAAAACATCGTTATGACATCATAAAGTGGCCAAAATCTGATCAGCTCATTTTCAGACAGGTTTTTTATAGAAATGGATCAAAAAGAGAGAGAATCTTTGTTCCTGAAACTTTCAGAGTCTCTTTCCACAGAGGGGACACATGTTGATGAAGAAGAGACATGAAGAAGAGGGGACACATGTTGATGTAGAAGAGACATGAAGAAGAGGGGACACATGTTGATGTAGAAGAGACATGAAGAAGAGGGGACACATGTTTATGTAGAAGAGACATGAAGAAGAGGGGACACATGTTGATGTAGAAGAGACATGAAGAAGAGGGGACACATGTTGATGTAGAAGAGACATGAAGAAGAGGGGACACATGTTGATGAAGAAGAGACATGAAGAAGAGGGGACACATGTTGATGTAGAAGAGACATGAAGAAGAGGGGACACATGTTGATGTAGAAGAGACATGAAGAAGAGGGGACACATGTTGATGTAGAAGAGACATGAAGAAGAGGGGACACATGTTGATGAAGAAGAGACATGAAGAAGAGGGGACACATGTTGATGTAGAAGAGACATGAAGAAGAGGGGACACGTGTTGATGTAGAAGAGACATGAAGAAGAGGGGACACGTGTTGATGTAGAAGAGACATGAAGAAGAGGGGACACGTGTTGATGTAGAAGAGACATGAAGAAGAGGGGACACGTGTTGATGTAGAAGAGACATGAAGAAGAGGGGACACATGTTGATGTAGAAGAGACATGAAGAAGAGGGGACACATGTTGATGTAGAAGAGACATGAAGAAGAGGGGACACATGTTGATGTAGAAGAGACATGAAGAAGAGGGGACACATGTTGATGTAGAAGAGACATGAAGAAGAGGGGACACATGTTGATGTAGAAGAGACATGAAGAAGAGGGGACACATGTTGATGTAGAAGAGACATGAAGAAGAGGATTTTCCATAATAGGTTCTTTAAAGTCAACGTTTCAGTTTCTTCAGTGCACCTCCTCTCTTTCTCCCACATGTGACTCTTTGTCTCCACCTTGTCTCTCTTCTACCCGCAGATGGTGGACAAACTGAAGCTGAGTGAGATGCTCTCGGCTCCGGAGCTCTTCATGGGGGGGTTCGGGGACGTGCCGTGTGACTTCTGTCCTTCAGAGAGCCGTCTGCGGGCGGAGAAGTCGTGCCTCGTGTGCCTGGCCTCGTTCTGCGAGCTGCACGGCCTCCCGCACCGCGACGTGGTGACGCTGCGCCGCCACAAACTGGTGTCCGCCGTGGAGAGTCTGTCCGAGAGGCTCTGTGCTCAACACCGCCTCGGACTGAGGTCTGTAGGGGAGGAGGGGGAGGAGGAGGGTGGGGGGTGGAGAGGAGACTGCCTGCTGTGTGAGGACCAGGAGGAGGCGCATAACGTGGAGGCGCAGAGACACAGGAGACAGGTACAGTAACTAAGGAGATCTACTGTAGTTAAGATAAGATACCAGGAGAGGTGTAAAGTAACTAAGTACTGTGTGTGTGTGTGTGTGTGTGTGTGTGTGTGTGTGTGTGTGTGTGTGTGTGTGTGTGTGTGTGTGTGTGTGTGTGTGTGTGTGTGTGTGTGTGTGTGTGTGTGTGTGTGTGTGTGTGTGTGTGTGTGTGTGTGTGTGTGTGTGTGTGTGTGTGTGTGTGTGTGGTGTGTGTGTGTGTGTGTGTGTGTGTGTGTGTGTGTGTGTGTGTGTGTGTGTGTGTGTGTGTGTGTGTGTGTGTGTGTGTGTGTGTGTGTGTGTGTGTGTGTGTGTGTGTGTGGCTTCAGCTGCAGGAGGCTCAGAGGACGGTTCAGGTGAGGACACGCACCGGAGAGAGGGAGTTGGAGGAGTTTCAACAAAGCCTGGATTCCCTCAAGGTGAGACACACACACACACACACACACACACACACCGTGTTACAAGCCTTGGGGAGAGCAACAGAGGAGGATCACTCTCCCTGGATTACATTGCACTTTCTTAATTTAACTTTTAGTAGACCATTTCTTTAACTTCCTATGTAAATATTATAATATATGAATATATTTATTTGATTTGATATTTTTTATCAACCAGTCTTGCTTTCACTTCCTATATTTGTGAACGTCATATGTTTTATAAGAATATTCTATCCAATTTCTTTAGTTTTTTTTATGTATATTTGACTATTTGACTATTTCTCTTAACTTCATAGCATACTTATATGAATATTTCCCTGACGTCAGAGCAATAAATCAGCCTAGTTTGACAATCTCTCCCATTTTAACATGTATGCAACACCTCCAGTAGTGTCTGTGCCTCTGTGGAGCATGTGAGATACAGCGCTGTATAAATAGACTTGTCATTTACATTACACACACACACACACACACACACACACACACACACACACACACACACACACACACACACACACACACACACATACACACACACACACACACACACACACACACACACACACACACACACATACTCCCCGAGCACCCGGCTCACACACTCTCTATCTCTCCAGTTTCCATTAGCTAAATGACGTAGCAGCCGCTCCTTCAGTCTTCCAGGAAACCGTCTCCTCCTCCTCCCCTGAGCTTTTCACACTGCATTAGCTCTCAAACAGGCTGACATCTTCTTTCTACTGCATGTTATGGCGCATTTCCACTACACGGTCGGCCTCGGCCACACTCGGTACGGCTCGGTACGGCTTGGCCGCGTTGGGCCTTAACAGGGCCGACTCACTTCATGCTGCGCTTCCATTACAGTTTAGGAACTGGGGTAGTATCTATAGTAACGCAGTGTAGGCGGAGCCGTGACGTCATCTTCAATGAGAACCCCAGAAAAACAACACAACCGTTAGCTGTTAGCACTCAGAGCTCACAGCTCCTCATATCTGTTCAGAAACTCGACAAAAGTTAAACAAGTACAAACCACAGACTGCCTGTGTCATGGTGAATACAGTCGCTGCTTTATTTATGTCTGTATAGGCCGTTGTTGTGAGTGTGGACGGTCAGAGCATATACTGCGTTAGCTTAGCCAATCTCCATCTAGAAAAACACGCATTTTAAAAGGTTTTTCGCCTGCCGTCTGTCTGCAGACTTGACAAAGCATTAATTCATGGTTTTTACTAACCGGTATCAGTATGTTGTTACTTCGGCATCATTTTGAAACGTGTATTACAATTAAATCACGGTCAAATATGTCCATCTTGTTGTAGTTCTAGCCCTCTTGCCAGCGCTCCTCTCTCTAGTTTAGCATACTCAGCCCGACTCAGCCCTGTTTGTTGGCCCCGATAGAACCACAATTTTCTAGGGCCAGAAAAGAGGGGAAAAAGTGGCCCCGCGCCGTGCCGCGCCGGAACGAGGCCTAGTGGAAGCACAACCAAAAAAGGGGACGGCACGACACGGCACGCTTAAAGCGAGCTCCGCGCTGCAGTGGAACTGCGCCATTAGTTATCTTTCCTATCACTCAAAGGGCACAGGTTAATTCCTGATCACAGCTCCATGAAAGGTGCACAATTTGATGCTTTATTTGTTTATTTGTCTGCATTCACATTGTCCTAGTGAAGGCTTAATGACAATCAGTTCATCTGATCTGTTCACATGTTGTTTGTATTGCCTTAAAGGGGACCTATCATGCAAAATGCACTTGTTGATGTGTTTTCTACATCAACAAGTGTCCCCGGTGTGTCAGTGAACTCACGCAGCGTCAGAAAATAAAACCCTCTCTCTTTTCCTCCGTACCCAAATCTCTAAAAACAGGGGAACAACGGAGCTGATCCAGATTTGCGTCCGATATGACGTAATATCTGAAATGTGGACCCACGGCCCTATCAGAAACGTTGCTATCAGAAACAATGCCCGACTGTTTTGGACGTAATATGGTCGGTGTTTACATTAGCATGGCTAACACTCAGAGCTAACCTGTACTGGAGAGCATGTGTGTGAAGAAGCAGGAAATAAAAAGGAACTCACCTTGTGGTATAACCGGCAAGAGAGAAAGCCTTTGAGCTCCATACTGTTTCAGAAATAATCCTTGATAATCCATGATATGGCGTTTCATCACGGCAGTATTTAGTTTAGACAGTAGCTGCCGGGTCCCGCATGAGCTCAGACCCCTACTTTTTTAAATCTGTTATAATGTAAGAGTGTAGTATTGATTTTGACAGTATCAAGCATCATGTGAAATCCCATCTTTGTGATCTTAACTACTTCAGTTGTTACTCTCTGTGTGTTTCAGGTGTCAGCGTCGGCTGTTCTGGAGGACAGTGAAGCCGTGTTTGCAGACATGGCCCTCCGTCTGGAGAAAACCAAAGCAGAGGTCAGGAGCGTGTCATCCCCTAAAGCTTAAAGTACTTTAATAAATATATCTGCAAGTCTTACAAAGGAGACGAGAAACAAGTGGATTCTAATCAAGTTTAAGTCCTCAATATTCACAATATCTTTTTATACTCTACATGTCAGAAGGTCTGCTGATTCAAGGAGGTTCAGGGACATATTAGCAGTAAGGCTATAGCAATGTGTGTAATATTAGCAATGATTCTGAGCAATGAAGAGGGGACACATGTTGATGTAGAAGAGACATGAAGAAGAGGGGACACATGTTGATGTAGAAGAGACATGAAGAAGAGGGGACACATGTTGATGTAGAAGAGACATGAAGAAGAGGGGACACATGTTGATGTAGAAGAGACATGAAGAAGAGGGGACACATGTTGATGTAGAAGAGACATGAAGAAGAGGGGACACATGTTGATGTAGAAGAGACATGAAGAAGAGGGGACACATGTTGATGTAGAAGAGACATGAAGAAGAGGGGACACATGTTGATGTAGAAGAGACATGAAGAAGAGGGGGACACATGTTGATGTAGAAGAGACATGAAGAAGAGGGGACACATGTTGATGTAGAAGAGACATGAAGAAGAGGGGACACTGTTGATGTACATGAAGAAGAGGGGACACATGTTGATGTAGAAGAGACATGAAGAAGAGGGGACACATGTTGATGTAGAAGAGACATGAAGAAGAGGGGACACATGTTGATGTAGAAGAGACATGAAGAAGAGGGGACACATGTTGATGTAGAAGAGACATGAAGAAGAGGGGACACATGTTGATGTAGAAGAGACATGAAGAAGAGGGGACACATGTTGATGTAGAAGAGACATGAAGAAGAGGGGACACATGTTGATGTAGAAGAAACATGAGGAAGAGGGGACACATGTTGATGTAGAGGAGACATGAAGAAGAGGGGACACATGTTGATGTAGAAGAGACATGAAGAAGAGGGGACACATGTTGATGTAGAAGAGACATGAAGAAGTGGATTTTGCATAATAGGTCCCCTTTAATCTGCTCGTGTCCTCGTGTGCGGCAGGTCAGAGCGCGGCTGGAGACGAAGGAGCGGGCGGTGGTGGGGCGGGCGGAGCGAGACGTGGAGCAGCTGGAGAAAGATCTGGAGGATCTGAGGAGGAGAGAGAAGGAGATCTGTGAGCTGCTGCAGAGCGACGACAACACACACTTCCCGCAGGTGAGGGGAGACAGATTGTAAATACGGTACGATAATACTTTAATGCTCAGATCAAGTCTGAAATGCTTTTAACGTGACAGCACGATCAGTGAGAGACAACATGCTCAAAGAGCCTTTCCAAAGAATTGGAAGCATTGAACCCAGTTGTTTCGTTTTTGTCTCACATCACGTGTTGTTGTTGTTGTTGTTGTCAGTCAAAACGGAATAACACATTTCACTCTTTTCAGCTACCATTCACTAAATCCACCAGGAACTTCTCTAGTCTCAAATTGCGTTCTTTAGTAAGTGCTAAATTAGGGATAAAGAAACAAATATATTCTGTCAGTGTTAGCTTTAAAGTTAGTTCAAACTAATCTTTTATTCATTCAATAAACTAAACTAAGATTAAGATATGTAGTTGGTGAGGTCATTGTTTTGTGAGGTTAGTGGCATATTTGGGGAGGCGTGTGGTGCAGTGGGTTGTGCGTTGGTGTTGGTGATCAGGGGGTCACAGGTTCAAACCCCACTGCAGTCAGCATGTCGTTGTGTCCCTGAGACACTTAACCACAAAGTGCTCCTGTGGGGATTGCCCACAGTATTGAGTATGTAAGTCGCTTTGGATAAAAGCGTCTAACAAGTGACATGTCATGTAATGTAATATGTTGTAAACATGCTGGTGTCAAAGTAAATGTATTTTTGTTACATAAAGTCTTTGAGGCCATGTAGGAAACTCTCCACAGACTTCAGAGTCTCTGGTCTAAAGAAAAGAGCTGAGTAAGGAGAGAATGAAATTACAGGCAACATGTCTAAATGGATGTATTGATCCTGTACAGACGTTATCACACTGAAGCTCTCAGAAACACAAGAAGCACTTTAGCAGGGGGGGGGGGGCATTACTCAGCTCTCTTACATAGGAATTTGAACATTACTGAAGCTTGCATTATATGCACTTTGTGTTAAGTCATCGTGGAGAAGGGGTCCAGCTGCAGAACATCTGAAGGGTCTGCTAGGTACAAACCTAAAAGGGATCTCTTAGTCTGTTTTTAAATTAAATAACTGATCCAATACTTCACGAAAATGTAAGGAACTTAGTGGGGATTTTTGTGTCCGATCTGAATCAGAAATGGTTGTTATCGTCCCACAGCAGGAACATTTGAACTGGTACGGCAATGGGACATGCAGATACAAGGCAGACATAAGAAGAGTAAGATAATAGAAAAGCCTATATATATCTCTCTAGCATATAGCCATGGTCAAACAAGAAGTAGCAGCATTATAAAAAGTAGTGTTGTTTCAGTCTGACGTAGGGAAGAAGCAGCCAGTGATAACCAGGGTTGGGTTGTAACGGAATGTAACGGCGTTACGTAATCAGAATACAAAAATCAAGTAACTGTATTCAGCTCGCGTTACTTTTGAAAAACGAGTAATCTGATTACAGTTACTTTCGTAAACCTGAAGTGAATACATTTTGGATTACTTATTGGAATTATTGGTGGAAAGATTTCCTCACAACATTTAATATTCATTACTAAAGGTGTTAAGGAATAATTCTTCTAGATATCTAACCTTTTGCTCTGTGACGTTGTATGATCTACTCTGACGTCTGTTATCTCCTTTAAGGAAAGGCCTTGGTGCCATATGTGTTGTTGTCATCAGTTTGTGACCGGTCAACTTCTCTGGCACGAAGGGTACTTATTGTGAGAACGCTGAGGCACTTCTTTATCGGTGTTTGTGGACTCTAAGATGTGAAATCCTTGAGGCCATGAGTGTCGGACGCAGGTGGTTCAGTGTTCCCAGCTGTTTAGTCTACTCCTTCAGAGATGTTGATTTCTCTCTGTGAACCTGTTAAAAGGTCTAGCATAGAGAGAGGCTCTTCAGAATTGACGTGGCAACTCTACCGTGTAGTCAGAACCTCTGACTCTTTGACTTGTGATGTGAATCCTCCGGCCGAATACTCTGAATAAACCCATCAGTGTTTGACATCAAAGCTCCAACTCTCACCGTGTCTCCTTCCTGAGTCGGTGACTCCCAATGCATTGCTACACAGAAGTTTCCCCCACAAAAGGTACAGCCGAATCATTACAGAAAGTAATCTAAAAGTAATCTGATTACGTTACTTTTTTAAGACACGTAACTGTAACTGTATTCGGATTACTTTCAGAGCCATGTATTCAGTAATCAGTAACTGATTACATTTACAAAGTAACCCTCCCAACCCTGCTAATAACACATTGTAAAATCTCACTGGGGGTCTTTCTGTAATGCTTCTTCAACCTCTGCACATTAGCCCATTACCTCTAATGCATCCTGGAGGCATTAAGAAACAGCCTGGATGGAGCAGGAAGTGATGGATGAGTCAGCGGTGGAAAAGGACTGTTTGCAAATTGAATTACACGTGGAATAAAAGAGGACTTTTCTCTCTCTCTGTCTCTCTCTCTCTCTGTCTCTCTCTCTGTCTCTCTCTCTCTCTCTCTCTCTCTCTCTCCTCTCTCTCTCTCTCTCTCTCTGTCTCTCTCTCTCTCTCTCTCTCTCTCTCTCTCTCTCTCTCTCTCTCTCTCTCTCTCTCTCTCTGTCTGTCTGTTTAACCCCAGGCTGCCCCCCTGCTGTGCGTCCCTCTCTCCTCTCGCCCCTCTCTCTCCCTCTCTCTCCCCCCCGAGGGGTTCAGTGGCGCCCGCAGAGCGCTGAGTCGTCTGCGCAGCCGCATGGAGGAGCTCTGCAGGGAGGAGGGGGAAAAGATCAGCCACGCAGGTACAGAGAGAGAGCGTCCAATGGGTTACAACAACACTCAGACATGGAGACACTAGCGCTACTCTAAAGCATATTGATGGGAAAATAGTCAATGTACTCTTCCAATATCAGAGTCCACATGATAACAAAGGTATCCCAACTGTAGCTGTGTACATGACAGGATGTATGATTACCTAGAAGAGCATCAGGACTGTTTGAGGCATATGATAGCTATGTGATTAACATGATGATTCAGCCTCTATGGAGATAGACATATTACAAGCATGATCATTTCTGACGTGGAGCGAATCTGAAGTAAACATTGAATACTGCTTTGAACCGTGAACCAGGAAATAAAATACAATATATCATGTATTTAAACATATAATATAACTATTGCAAATTTTGTTTTGCTTTCAGTTAATGAGGACTACGTGGGTGGAGGGTGTGTAAAAGGTAAGCAGAAGACACATGATACACACACACACACACACAAACACACGCACACACACACACACGCACACACACACACACACACACACATACACACACGCTGAAGGTTTGACATGACATCTAACACTGTTGGGGTTAGTGTGAATGATTCATGGAGCAGAGGAAGGAGCCTGAACACAGTCATTCTGATCTGTTCAGCTTATCTTCACTATCAGCATTCAAAGTCCAACTTTCTCGGGAATAAGTCACAAAAACAACATTTGTATATCTTCCCCTCAGCCTGTGTTACCTTACCTTGAATTATTGAAGGAAACGTTGCTTTTATCCCATGCCTTCCCAGTCAGAAGTGTTTCAAATATGAAGGTTTTAGTGAAAAATGTTTTGGAAGTAGTGAGCATACGACTGGAGAATGGGCTTGGATTATTCTGTACGAGCTGTCTGTGAGTTTGTTAACAGACTTACTGAAACAAATAAAAACGTTTGCTATGATTTTGGGTTCTTTGTTCACCATTCAAGGTAACACTTGCGGAGTAATGGTCATTTTGTATTCCTTGAGGATAAAACTAGTCGTTGTATGGAAGTGTTTCAATCAAAATGTGTTTTTTTTGTCAACTTGGATTTAGTTATTATCAGTGTTATTGAGTTAAGAATATGTAAAATCATTGATATTTATTGTATTGGGGGGGGGGTGCCTGTGCAGAGAACTCCAAACCATCACAATCTGCAAGGCAACACACCACAGGGGGTAAGTAAAGAATGTGGGGTTTTGGTACTTTTTTGGTGAACTAACTTCAACAGCTGATTCTGCTTTTGTTGGCATGCTCACTAACCAGCAGATCTAATGACTTTAAAGTGGACCTATCATGCTATATTTGAATAATATAGTGTAGGACCATACCTATATAAGGCATATTTATACTTTTTTCTTTTCAAAATACCAAACAGATCATGCATTTTAGCCATGCCTCATTTCGCTCAATTTGACCATTTCTAGCTCTGGGCAGATTCAGTGAGAACAGCACCATCTACTGGCCTGGCATATGTACTACAGCGTCTCCAGCGCTTTCGAACGGCAATGGCCGTGGCTGTCTCCTCCTGATTGGTGGGGTTGGCCCAATAGCCGTAGCGCCACCGTCCTGACGTCAGGACAGTGTTCAAATCTGGATCAGTTTTTATCAGATCCGTTGCAGCCCCTTTTTTAGAGATTTGGGTATGGAGGAAAATAGAGAGGGTTGTGTTTTCTGACACTTGGTGAGTTCCCTGGAACACCGGGGACACATATTCATGTAGAAAAGACGTACAAAAGTGCATTTTGCATGATAGGTCCCCTTTAAAGGAATAGATTGGCATGTTTTGGGGACCATGCGTATTCGCTTATTTGCAGAGAGTTACCAGGCCTTTTCCCCAAAATGTTGAACAACTCCTTTAATAATAAAGCAACTATATGTAGGATTTTGCAAAGAATAATGGTCTAAAAAGGTCGTAGTGCTCTTTCTAATCAATGATATTGTCGTTATGATATATAAATCATGTCAAACCTGCTCCTTGCAAACTAATTCTACATGTAGTCACTTTATTGTTACTGATAAGAATGATAATAAGCACAGCTAGCTTTGTTTCTTTAACAAGTTGTTAAGACTGAATACTATTAACGAATGTATTCACTTTAAAGAAAAAGCGTGGCATTCTTTGGGAAGCATGCTCATTTGTTTTCTTGTGAGTGTTATGAAGCATATTTCCCAAAATGCAGAACTATTCCTTTCGAAACAAAGTAACTAGGATCTTAATTGTAATCTGGCTCTATCTCTTGGGTGTGAGGTGCTGTTTACACGGGAACGAAACGGGTTGTATCCGCTACTTTTCTCTCGCGTATAGCCCGTTCGTTCACACGAGGCCGTAACGGAACCACGGAAACGGACCGCGCAAACGATAACGGGTCTCAAGGTGGATAGATCTGAGGACGGAACGCTCTGGGGGGGCAAACAGCTCCGTGTGTACGCCCTATACGATCATTTCCTGATAACGATGAAGCCATAGCCCCGCCTCTCCCCACCTCTGCTGCTCACTGCTGTAGCATGGTCAGTAGCAGTAGCACTAGCAGTAGCTACTGTCAGTAGCTACTGCTAGTGCTACTGCTACTGACCATGCTACAGATGTTAGCGCAAAATCTACAGCTCCTCACAACCATCAGCAACAAGTGGACATGGAGAATTACATGAACTACATGTTGCTAAATCCACCGCGGGGCTTAAACAGAAGGGCAACCATGGCAACCGTGCTCGGGGGTCTTCTTCGCTGCTTTTGGTGTATTTTGTGGCGGAAGTACAGCGCCACTTACAGGCCCGGCATATGTACTACAGCGTCTCCAGCGCTTACGAGCGGTCTCGTGCTGAAGTACAGCGCCACTTACAGGCCCGACATATGTACTACAGCGTTTCCAGAGGTCTCGTGTGAACGGACACGTTAAATGAGCCGAATGCGTGTGAACAGAAGACTTTATTGATAACGAATTCGGTCCGTTTGCGTTTGCGCTCCCGTGTAAATGGGGTGTAAAGGACACAAACTGCACCAGCTTTCATGAGAAGAAAACACACCGAATCATTTAAAAGACGCTCCTCACAAACAAATGCTACATGTAGTGACTTTACTGTTTGGTTCTAATGCTATTTCACAAATGCTTGGTAAGGTTTGTTTGTTAACAGGGTGTCATAACCTTGATTTATTGGATTTATGTAATTCATCTTTTCCTATGTGGTTCCCTCTGTGTGGATGCTCCGACTTTTACCTCCTGTTTTGTCATGCATGTATTTTTCATCACTTGTCTAACTCATAATGTCTTTATCTAACATTGCGTGTCATTTCTTGCACTTATTTCCTTCCAATAGTTTCCACAATATGGACAAAAGTAATAACTAACAGTGTCTCTTTGTCTTCTCTCAGCAGTGACTGTTTCGTCCTTCGCTCTGTCCTCTCTGTCTCTGCAGCCGGCCGATCAGAGGATGAGAGCAGCTTTCCTCAGGTGTAAGTACCCTTCTTTCCTTTCCTTCTCTCCTTTCCTTCTTCATCCCTTCTCAGAACCAAACATGGTAAAAGCAGCGTTCAGTTATGAAGCTCCAAATATCTGGATCAAACTCCCAGAAACCTGCAGGTCCGCTGCGACTCTGACTACTTTTAAATCCAGGCTGAAGACTTTTCTTCAGTCTTTGCTTTTTAATGACTGTTTTTAAATGCCATTTTCTTAATGTCTTTCATTTTGTAAAGCACTTTGAAAGGTGCTATATAAATAAACTTGCCTTGCCTTCTCTTCCTTCCCTCTGGTGCACCTATTCAGTTTCGTTGACACTCTTTCCATGCTTCCTCTTTCTTCTCTCCATGCTTCGGACTCAGGAGATAATGAGAGAAACCTGAAAGTCCTGTCTGGATCTTTATCAATGATGGATGGCAATCATAGTGTATTTATGACGGACAGGTTCTTTATTAAAACCAGGCAGCTGACAGTCTGACAACGCACCGTCACCTTGTCATGCATTCATTATTCATCTGGTCAGAGGAGGATTAGGGTTATCTGCCTCATGCCAAACTGTCAGCTGGCTTAACAATGTTTTTGGCAGTTTTTGGTGTCTGACTCAACTCTAGAGTAGAAAAAGGAAGTAGATTTCATGCCTGCGTCATCACCAACAAGTTATCTTAAAGGGGACCTATCATGCAAAATGCACTTTTGTACGTCTTTTCTCCATGAATATGTGTCCCCGGTGTTCCAGGGAACTCACCAAGTGTCAGAAAACACAACCCTCTCTATTTTCCTCCATACCCAAATCTCTAAAAAAGGGGCTGCAACAGATCTGATAAAAACTGATCCAGATTTGAACACTGTCCTGACGTCAGGACGGTGGCGCTACGGCTATTGGGCCAACTCCACCAATCAGGAGGAGACAGCCACGGCCATTGCCGTTCGAAAGCGCTGGAGACGCTGTAGTACATATGCCAGGCCTGTAGGTGGTGCTGTTCTCACAGCTTCAGCCCTTGCAGAGCAGAGCTAACATTTTTCAAATTGAGCGAAATGAGGCATGGCTAAAATGCATGATCTGTTTGGTATTTTGAAAAAAAAAAAGTATAAATATGCCTTATAGGTATGGTCCTACACTATATTATTCAAATATAGCATGATAGGTCTACTTTAAAGGTCCCATGTCATGGCCATTTCTACTGATCATAATTCCATTTAGATTTATATTGTGCAATTTTCCAAACTCACATTGGTTTGTCATACAGCATCTCTGTATAGTATGTGTATTCACTCTCTGTCCTACACGGCTTGTTGGAGCTCCTGTCCCCTCCCTGTCTGTGAGCCCAGTGGCCATCTGCGAGACAGCGAGACACAGCGAAACCCAGCCCGAACACACACACACACCCGCAGCCTGGCTGGGAGTTTGTGTGTGTGCTCACACACCGACTCACAGCCTCGCCGCGTCCCACCGCCTCAGGGAGGAGAAATCGGCGGCGCTGCAGCTGAGAAAAGATTGAGTGTGTGTGTGTGTGAGGATTACGTAACGGCTCCGCGGACGTAACGTAACGTAACGGCTCCACGGATTGTTCCATTTGGACCAATCCGCGGAGCCGTTACATTACGTTACGTCACTATACCCAAATACGTCACTGTACCCAGGAAGAAAAAGAGAAATCTCCAACGAGGCGTTCTGGGGCAGCATAGACAGGTCTTCTCTGTGTTAGAGTTTTACTCGCTACAGGGTGTACTTTGAGGGTTTGTGACTCTGCAGACCGTTTACATGCAGAGAAACCTTCATAACACAAGGGGATGGGTAATAACCAGAAAAGCATGACATGGGACCTTTAAGGTGTCGAAGTGAAGCCAATGTGGAAATGCATTAAACTGTAAAATGCATTATTTCAAATGGCCAGCAGGGGGCGAATCCACTGGTTGCAAAAAAGTCAAATTCTATAGAAGTCTATGAGGAAATCAACCACATTTTCACCTGATAGATTACCTCAGTTAACATTTTCCTGGTGACGTTATGGTCTTAATACCTAGTTTAAGTCTTCTTTAATCGTCATGATGTTCATTTTCTAAATGTTGGTCCTATTTAGTGCAAAATAGATGATAAGGCAGGGTTTGTTTAAGGGTGCTTCTACTTTGCAATTGAATGGCCGCAACCAAGGTGTTAAAGTCTGTGTATTAGTTCCACCATTAGCTCCACCCTCTTGGGACACTGGTCCCAACAAACAAGAAGTCAGAGCAGTTCAATCGTCTGGTAGCCCGAGGGCCGTTGGGGCCGTTTGAAGACTCTCCAATCTCCATTCGGCTTCAAACTTCCCGATCTTCACAATCTGTTCTGCACCTCTTCTTAACTTAACTGCACCGTGCATAATGGTATTGCCTAAGGACACGTTTGTTCTGGTTATGTGTCCGAACCACTGTTACTTTTACCTTTTTAGTGATTTCCTTCATCAGTTTAAGAAACCTCGAATCGTGAAGTTAAGACCCAAGAAACCTTGAGTCAAGTCCACTTTCTCAGAGTCGTTAGTACAGTCTATTTTCAATGTCACCCTGAGGATCTTCCTGTAGCAAAGGCTTTCTAAAGGTGGTCCACAAACCAATGAGTGACACCACAGTGACTCCATCCATCAGAACACTTCCGATACCAGAACTTTTAGGAAGGGATTAGCCAACATCAGTCTCCCTTGAAGAATATTTTCTCCAGCTTGTCCTTCTTCTTGAAATCTCATGTCTTGTTTGCCTTCCCTTCCAGTTTCATGCCGCCTCTCCTTGGACACCGACACTGCCCACCCTACCCTGGTTCTCCTGGAGGGTCCCCAGGGTGCCCACTGTGGAGAGGAGCCCCAGCCCTACCCTCCTCACCAGCAGCGTTTTGACTCCGTAGCCCAGGTGCTCTGCAGGGAGGGCCAGTTTGGAGCCAGCTACTGGGAGGTGGAGTGGAGGGGCGGAGGGTGGGTCGATATCGGCATCACTTACAAAGGAATCGGACGAAAAGGCGGCGGGAAACCTTGCCTTTTGGGGCGAAACGAGAACTCGTGGCGTTTGAGGTGCACTCACGCAGGATACGCCGCTTGGCACGATAACCGGAAAACCACGGTTGCTGCCCCCCCTTGCCCGAGGATTGGTGTTTTCTTGGAGAGGCAGAAAGGAGCGTTGTCTTTCTACAGCGTGTCGGACACCATGGTGCTTCTGCACACGTTTCGATGCCCGTTCTCTCAGCCGCTTTACCCCGCGTTTCGCCTGGACCTGGACTCCACCCTGATCATCTGCCCCCATGAGGGAGGAGGATGTGGGAACCCAAACTAATATTGCCCAACCATTCCCCCCCCAAGGACCAGAGATGTCAGAAGTACACACATCCTTTCCTCAAGTAGAAGTACAGATACTCATGTTTAAAAATACTCTGGTGAAAGTAGAAGTACTGACTAAACTTCTTTACTCAAGTCAAAGTAAAGAGGGCTTTGAAATGTACTTCAGTAAAAAGTACCCATAACTAGCAGCTGTTTTAAAGAGTACCTGACCTCCCTTTATATTAATAGAACAATAATGTCATTGTTAGCTAATGAATGTTTCCATGCTGAACAACGGCAACATGACAACGTTTTCATTGGTCCCTCTTCTTTAGAGAAGACCAGGAAATGATGGATACACGGATCGTGTTCAAATCAATAGGCACGCAATGACTCTAAATAATAATGATCACGCCACCAAACACACATTCAAACTAAAGGAACCAGCCTGTTTGGAAAATGTGAGAAGTAGAAAGTACAGGTATTTGGGTTCAACATGTAAGAAGTAGAAAGTACAGGTATTTGGGTTCAACATGTAAGAAGTAGAAAGTACAGGTATTTGGGTTCAACATGTAAGAAGTAGAAAGTACAGGTATTTGGGTTCAACATGTAAGAAGTCAAGTAAAAAGTCGTCAGAATAAGTAGTGGAGTAAAGTACTGATACCAGAACAATGTACTTAAGTATTTGTACTCCACTACTTCCCACCTCTGCCAAGGACCTTAGCCCCTCCTGTCGTGTTCGTTTCACCGCCCTCACTTTGTTGTCTGAGCTGTCTGAGCTGTCTGAGCTGTCTGTAGATGTGGGTGTGTACTCTCTAATCTAGATTCACCCATTCATTTCCTTTGCCATTTCTGACCGGGAGCATCATAGGTGTTTTAAAGTCGACTAAGACACTCAAAATTCTATGAAAGTGGTAATCAGATATATGTTCAAATGCCTACTGTGGAGGATCTCATAAGGCCTTGAAGCAATCAAATGTAAAACACAATATTTATGATTGATGAAAGTAGTAAATCAGTCAGATTTGACCCGAACACAACAGGAGGGTTAACATTTAAACTGAACACGTTGCGAACGAGGAAGCAACAGGAAGTAGCGTCCCATTTCTCTTTCCATTCATGTCTTTCTGCATATTCTCTCATTCTAAGTCTCTCTCTAAAGGGTTTCAAAACGAGTATTTTAAAAATCACAAAGTGCACGCAATGATTACATTTTACAATATGCATATTTCAGCCCAATATCATGACTTGTCATTGCACAGGATTATTAGCAACATGACATTAAAAAAGGGCTCTGTTCTGTTCAAGTTTCCCAGCATGCAAAATATGAGGACGCTGAAACTGTGCTTTAAAATAATCTTGAATCTGTTATTATTTACTCTTGTGCTTTTCCTACTGTCAAAACATCCATTTTTTAGTAGTTTGAAATCTTAAAGGTCACCTATTGTGCAAAATCCACTTCTTCATGTCTCTTCTACATCAACATGTGTCCCCTCTTCTTCATGTCTCTTCTACATCAACATGTGTCCCCTCTTCTTCATGTCTCTTCTACATCAACATGTGTCCCCTCTTCTTCATGTCTCTTCTACATCACCATGTGTCCCCTCTTCTTCATGTCTCTTCTTCATCAACATGTGTCCCCTCTTCTTCATGTCTCTTCTACATCAACATGTGTCCCCTCTTCTTCATGTCTCCTCTACATCAACATGTGTCCCCTCTTCTTCATGTCTCTTCTACATCAACATGTGTCCCCTCTTCTTCATGTCTCTTCTACATCAACATGTGTCCCCTCTTCTTCATGTCTCTTCTTCATCAACATGTGTCCCCTCTTCTTCATGTCTCTTCTACATCAACATGTGTCCCCTCTTCTTCATGTCTCCTCTACATCAACATGTGTCCCCTCTTCTTCATGTCTCTTCTACATCAACATGTGTCCCCTCTTCTTCATGTCTCTTCTACATCAACATGTGTCCCCTCTTCTTCATGTCTCTTCTTCATCAACATGTGTCCCCTCTTCTTCATGTCTCTTCTACATCAACATGTGTCCCCTCAGAGAGACTCTGAAAGTTTCAGGAACAAAGATTCTCTCTCTTTTTCTCCTGATCCATTTTTATAAAAACCTGTCTGAAAATGAGCTGATCAGATTTTGGCCACTTTATGATGTCATAACGATGTCTTGTCTTGTGTAACCATTAGCCAATCAGCAACCAAGGTAACCCCCCCCCACCTTATCACCTGAATCTCCTCCTAGAGCACCATTGAGTTCTTTGTAACCAAATCTCTCTCAGAGGGGCGTGGGGAGGGGCTCCTTATTTTCATCTAAAGTAACAGACAGAGAATCAGCACTTTGGAAACAGGGCTGAAACAGAGGGGATTATGGGTAATGCTGCAATGATCTGTTTGGTGTTTCAGCCAATCAGAGAGAGGCTCTGGATATATCTGAGACCTGTGATATATTGATGACAAACAGTATAATAGGGGACCTTTAATTTGTTTGCCAATCAACACACCAAAATGTGTTTGACAACATTTCTGTGGTATGAACAACAACTCAAAGACACTAAGAAGTATTCACGCCCATTTGTGTGTTTCATTGTTTTCTATAAGCTTCAAATTTGTTGTAAATACATTTATTTATGGGACTTTTTGTGTACATACGAATACCAGAAGGACTTTTTTTGACAGGCTGAATATTAAGTACCTGCGACTACTTGAATACAAGATGTTTCTGTATCTCTGCCAGGCGACATGAGAAACCTCACTCATATAGTAGCAGATATATTTATCTTTGGTTCATGCCTTCATCTCCAGAGTACAAAATCATGAATAAAGCAATAGTTTTCCTCGATGAGAAAATGTTTACCCCTTTACAATCGGCATTAAAGGTTACAAAATCTAAATGTTACTGTTTCGTTTGCGTAGGGATTTAACAAACCAGTAAGTGAGCTTTGGAGACGTTGGTAGCTGGATTCTGTTGTTCTGGGACATACGGGTCTAAAACAATTAAAGCCATTGTTGAAATGCCTTAAACCTGAATTTGTTCTAATCTCCTCTGGGTGCAAAAAGAGATCAGATTGCATCGAAGTCTATGAGAAAATTGACCTGACCTGGTATTGGTTTTAATCATACTTGCCAACCCTCCCGATTTTCGCGGGAGACTCCCGATTTCACTGCCCTCTCCCGGTTTCCTCCCGGGGTCATATTTCTCCCGCATTTCTCCCGATTTCTGACAAAATCAGATTTACTCACGACTGTTTCCACTGAGGACTTCAATACAGCTACACCATTATTTGGTTTCCATGGTAGCGCATCCCTTTAGTAGCGCGCGCAACTGAAAGTCTGAGAGGGTGTTCAGCATGGTGAGGAAGATAGTCACAGAACAAGAATGGACAACTCTACCCTCTGCTCACTCCTTTCCTGGTCCTCATCAAGGATGGTGCTACAGGCAGCAAGGCATTGCACTTACAACTACAAGCATGTGTAGATGTTCTTTTCATCTTTAAAAGTCAGTTTCCCCGCTGCGAGGCTCCGGTGCTAACAGTTCTAACAGCTCCGGCGATCCACTAGCAACCCCCCCCCCCCCCCTCCCCGGCGCGGTGGTTTTTAATTTCTCCCGATTTCTGAGGTCTCAAGGTTGGCAAGTATGGTTTTAATACCTCTGTAAACATTTTTCTACTGAGTTAAGGGTCTCAATCTCTACTTTAAAGTCTTCTGCAATACAGCATGATGTTCGATTGGTAAATACATTTAGAGTAAATTCCCCAAACCATTCCTTCAACACTACCTTCACATTGCAGGTTGTCATTCTCGGTTTAATATCATGTGTTTGGCATTTCCTGTTCCTTTGTCTGTGCCCATGTATTACTAATATTCAGTATATGGTTCAGTACTATCATTCCCATGGTTGTCACTACTATGCTATCTCACTAAGCTGCACAACATGTCTATCATTTGGTGACCAATTGAGGAAGGTTCAAACTCTACTACTGTAACTGTTCATAAGGTTTTGAGTGGGGAATTATCACGTGTACTTTACAAGCTTCCAAATCCTATTATTGTCTCATATCCGCTTAAAACCAATCAAATCAAATGTTATTATCACCGTATATCCTTTCAGTCTTGGCATGCTCCATCTTTAAACTGTTCACATGCATGAAATGACATCAGATGAGTGATGGATAAAAGGAACAATATCATAACAAGAACATTTGAATGAACTACCACTGTTTCTGTTTGATAGTAGCATGAGGCTGTGGCGCTAATTATAACACGATAAGTGCCTTTCATCTGAATGGATGCCATACTGTAGCCAGATGTTCTTACATTATGGGATAGCATCTTATTTCCTAATTGTTTTTTAAATTATCTGATTGTGATCACTTCACCGAGGCACTGTGTGAGCAATTAAAACCAATGATCAACTATTGCAACTCCAAAGACACAAAAACACAGCTACGTAGAATCTTATTTTTTACATTGTGAAACATTTTCGAAGGGCATTGTTTAAATATTAGGCTGAAACCAAAAGGGCGGTTCCCATAAAGGACAAATAATACATGTAGCTAGCCGCTTTAAAATGCAATGGTTGCTTTCTTTGCTTCACCCTTTCACCAAGTTTGATTATAATCGGGCCAGTATTTTGTGAATTTGCCAACCTGATTTTCTCCAACAGGTCAAATCCAAAGTTGTTTTTTGCCATGAAGTGCATTATTTGAAAAGCTGTATGTCTGTTTCATAAACTGAAATGCTGGTCTGTAAAGTTTTCTCTCGTAGCATTGTCTCCATCTGTTTACTCTGTGTGCTTCCGTATATTAACGTGACTGTAGAATATGTTGTAATCGTCTTCAGTGTGGCTTTTTCCAAGATGAGTTCTTCCCTTCTTGGCCTCGCAATAAACTGATCCTGAAGCTGCAGTCTGAGGATGTTTTATATCGTGAAACATAACAATTTTACCACGGATAAATACTGCCTTTGATAAGCAGGAAGTTGAAGTCGTGGTATATGTTTGCGTGAATCTGCAGTTCCTTATACGTTTCTTTAATACATTTACATGACATGTTACTTGTTAGACGCTTTTATCCAAAGCAACTTACATACTCAATACTGTGGGCAATCCCCACAGGAGCAA